CTTCCGGGGCCAGGAGAGATGATGCAGCTTTCAGGGTGGACAGGCTTCTGAAGGCGGTGAACAGATAACTCCTGGTGGACATGGTGTGGTACCACAGCATAGCACCACAAGGGACAGATGGGTTCAGACAACTTAGGAGGGGAATGTTTTCTAGGGCATCCTGCATGACCCAGAGATGCAGAAGATTTGGGAAGTGTGCCACTGGCTAAAGGGTTTAAGGCTAGAGTGAGATGTGAAGTGTTGGAGTGTCCTTGGGAAGGCAGGTTTATGGTTACGTTGGTAGGAGATGAAGCGTATTCTGGCAGGGCTGCTCAGCTTTTATCAGGGTACGTTTTGCATCTGTTATTTGAATTCTGGGCAGGAGAGCTTTGTACCTCTAGCTGTCCCATGGGACCATGCCAGCAGATCATGCTACTTGGGTGGGGAAGTTTGATTCTAAGGGTGCAGGAGTTGGTAGTTATGGAGGTTATTTGCAGGTGATGACAATAAATGGAGTAAAAAACAAATGGGTAACTCTTAATCTGAATTTAATATGGCAAAGCACATAGGCAATTAACAAATTTATTTTTTCTAGCCGCTCAGGCCCAAGAGTTAAGAGTAAACAAGATAAAATGGAAGGATTCATATTTAAACACGTGTATGATATTCCTAAAACTTGCTAAGGAGATTTACTTTCTTGGAATATTAAATTCACTATAGTCAATTAATAAAATAATAAAAAGAAGAGCAGGTACATGGAAATGGTAGCCTGTAGTCTTATAATTGGCTTTACTTATTCTAAACTCTCTGGGAGCTCAAATTTGAATGATTGTGGAAAAATAATAAAGCAGCATTCAATGAAGCAGAGTATGCCATTCTTGATTTTATTTATCTACAGGATGCTAAATTGTACAAGCGTTCTAGTAGTGTTCCTTGACTCTTCCCTCTAAGATGCACCGTTATTGCTGCATCGTTATTGAGAAATACCAAGTCAGTCAGTCAGGCTGCAGTTATCATACATCAATGCTGAATCTTGCTGGAATTGAAAAATATTATAATAGTTTCTGAATTCAGATGTGATAGGCACCAAGTAGAAATTCTCTGTTTAACCTCGTCTGAAAGAGAGGAATTATTCTGTGGACTAAAAATCAAAGGACGAATAGGCAAAAATAATGATGTAGGTAAGGTTAAAACTCATCAAGTTAAAAGAAATGATCAAATTAGAAGAAATGATGTATCTCAGGTCAACTCTTAAAGTTAAAAGAAAAAGTTAAAATTAAAAATGTAGTTGATAACTGATAATGAATTAATGTTAAACTGAAATCTTTTTCTGATCCAAAGTGGAAACAGCTGTTGAAATGCATTTAAAAAGAAAAGAAAGTTGAGAAATACTGTTAATAGTGGACATAATTCAGAAGCTAGAAATCACAGAAAACAGCTGAAGAAAATAACAGGGCAAGCATTTACGGCCAGAAGAAGTAAAAACTGAGACTAAAAATGCAAGCGTTAGGTAATGATAAAAAGAGGAAATATTTCATGCAATGGGAAAAACCAAGCTGTGAAAGAAATAATGTTTTACTTCAGAAGAAGAAGCTTCATGTCTATATTACAAGATAAAAATGAAAAACTAGCCATTCTGTTTTTCTCGGTATATTTGGTAGATGATCTTAAATCGGGGTCCCGTATGACTGGGATGCAAAGACTTGGAAATAAGTGATGAAAAAGCATTACTGAAAACTTCTTGGGGGTGTCTTTTTTCCTAGCAAAAGTTCTGAAACCTGGAAAAGTTCCAGAGAGAGCAGATTACTCCATGTTGAAATAAAAGGAAAGACCTGGCTAAATGAAGACATGGCAACTTGATATCAGTTCCGGAAAAGTAATGGATGGCGGAAAAAATACATCAGAGTTAGATAAATTGAGACGAAATTATTAAAAACAAATAAGAGATTCCATGATGAATTAGGGAAATGAGAATATTGGTATTAAAGTTGGCATCCCCCCCCCCACCTACAACTTAAACGCATGGAAAAAATGTCTACCTTGATGAACATGGGGTAGGGAAACAGGAAACGGAAAGCAAACAGAACAAAGTACATACTTGGGTTAAGATTAAACAACACACAAACTACAAACGATAACAATTATGATGCGCCAATATTCCAAAAAAATATTAGGAGTAGATTCTTGGTTCTACACCAGACTTTTTCTCCACAAAACCAGAGAAGTGATGATATCTTTACTGAAAAGAGGAATATATGAAACATGTTAGGAAGAATTTGTTAGACAAGGGGATGAGCCTTGGACCATGGGGAAGGGTTGCCTCCTCAGCAAGTGGAGGTAGAAGAGGTAAAATGTGGGAGCAAAGATATGAGCTGTGGCCTGAGGTCTGCAGCCTGTGGAGTGTATGTGAGCACGAGGGGCTGGAGGTGTGAGAGCTGTGGCCTTTACTGTGCTGCAGTCAGGGTGGGTGGGTGCCTGGTGCCGCATTCCTTGGGGGAGGCTTAAAAGTTGGGTGTACCTCCTGCTTGGTACATCTTGGCATCTGGCTGGAGCTGTTGGCAGCCAGGAGCATGTTTATGATCACCTGCTTGGCCCCCACTCTTCTGTGGAGGTTGTTAGAAGGGTTTGTGCCAAGGAGGTGGTTGTAGGTTTTGCGCATTATTTACACTGAAAGAGGGCAGTCGAGGAGATGAAGTGGGAATCTGGGTGCTGTTGGTTTTAGATCCTGCCAGGAAGGAAAGGACTTCTGGAAATACAAAAGCAATGAAGAAGAGAGGCTGGTTGATGGGACAGTATACCTCCAAAGTGAATTTATGAAAGTTCAGGCAGGCCAAGTACAAGCTTTCTGTGTTCAGGAAGAGAATGTAATCATGTCTTTGTCAACATCTGGTGTTTCTCCTGCCTATATCTCACAAGAAGAATTGAGCTACCTGTGCTACGGTGTCTGTGGGAGACAGACTAGTTCCAGTCTGTGGGCTGTCTAATGTTCCAGGAGTGTGTGCCGGGAGCCCCCGGATGGTCTCTTGCAACGTGCAGCAGCTGGAGGAGGCGTGGCAGGCGGGCAGGCAGCATGGGTGAACGTGGGGCTGGTGCCCAAGGAAGAGGGGAGAGCGGCGAAGGTGGTGGGAGGGAGAGGAGAAGAGAGGGAGAGGCTGCTTGGGAGGGGGAATGGAGAGCCAGGGTGGGTGTGAAGGGCTGGAGTCGGGCAAGGCAGAGGTGAGGTGGGGCTGGAAGGAGAAAGGTTTCTGTAAGTCCCCGGGAGGCTAAGGAGAGTGTGGGCGAGTGTCTGCCTGGGTCCGGGGGGGTAGCGAGGAGGGATTGGGAAGAGGCTGAGGTACCGGGTGCCTGTTGTGTGCCAGTTGTTGTTGGTAAGGCTTGTCCTCGGGGCCTCGCAGGTGCGTGAGGCCGTTTGGAGAGCGTGTGGGAGCAAAGGTGTGTCCACGGTAGGAGAAGAAAGAGGGTAGGGGTCCCTTAAGGCCCGTGGGCATGCGGGAGTGCCTGTGAGCGCATGGGATGCGCCCGCGGGTGTTGCAGGAGGCGTTTTGGCGTTTTTGGGTAGCCGCTGTGCCTCGCTGTTGCAAGGTGCTGTGCATCAGGGGAGGTTGCTGCTGAGTGGCAAAAGGGCGGGGTCGCCACTGTGTTGGAGAAGGGCAAGAGGGAGGACGCAGGGAAGTGGAGGCCGGTGAGGGTGAGACTGAGGCCAGTGGCTGGGCTGTTTCTGGAGGAGGTTTGTCTGGGCAGGTGTTTCTGAAGAGCTGAGTGCCGTGGAGGTGAGCGGGAGGAGGGAGCCTGCGTTTTCCACGGGCAGATGCTGCGTGAGTGGGGTGGTAGCTGGGCATGAGGAGGTGAGTGGTGGGCGGTGTTGAGCAGGGTAGAGCAGTGGACGTTGCACGCGGCGATTTTTGGAAAGGCCTTTGTCAGAGGGTGGGCTCTAGCGGCAGCTCGGCTCGGTGCGCTCTGCCTAGGTTAGGGCGGAGAGGGGTGTGACGAGAAGGGGAACGCGGCTCTCCGGAGAGCTGCGGTCAGGGGTGCAGCGTGCTGTTGGCAGGCAGTAACTGGTGGGGGGGCCGGGTGGGGGGGTGGGTGGGTGTTGGCGCCAGAGCTGTTTGATGCGTGCGTTGCCGCCGTGGTTGATGGGAAGGCTGCGCTCCGAGGACAGTTGTGGCTGCCGGAGAGGTGTCGGAGTGGAGCGGTCATTGGGCCGGAGGGCAGGGCTGCTCCTGATGGGGGGGGGACGGACCTGGAGAGGCGGGAGAAGTAACCCGTGTGGCGGGAAGCTGCTGAAGTTGCAGAAGGGCCAGCGCAAGGTCTTGCGCGTGGGATGGCCTGAGCGGCTGCCCCCGTACAGAAGATGTCCGAGACTCGTCTGGACACGGCGGTGAGCTCCCCGATGTCCTGAAGAGCCGCCTGGAGGCGGGAGTTGGGCTCGGTGAGGCCTGGAGGTGGCTTCCAACTGGAACGATCGCGCTATGATTCTTTGAGGCCCACGACACCCAAGTTTTTACAAAAGGTCTTTATTTGCCTTGAATAAATAGGGGAATAAATAGAGCAATACAATTGTCATAATAAATAGAATAAGTTAAATAAATAGGTGTATTTTGGGGGGTTGGGGGGTGGCGGGGGCAGCGTGAGGGCGTCGGCAAGTTGCTGGCAGCAGCTGGTTGCCTCGGAGAGAGAGGGGAGTCGGCAGTGCAGCAGGCGAGATGCGTTGGTGGGCACGAAGTAGTGGGGTGGCTCGCGTTGTCCCTGGGTCTGTGCGTGGGGTCTCTGCGTTCCCCGTTGGTGGGTGCCTTTGGGGAGCAGCCGTGGGTGTGGGGCGCGCAGGGGCACGTTGGTGCGTGGGGTGCCGAAGCGTGGCCGTTGCCACGGTCGTGGTGCTGCTGGGCTCTGCGTGGTGCTGGAGGAGGTGGCGGAGGTGGCTTGGTGCGGGTGTTGTGGGGGGAGGGGGGGCAGGCGAGGCGGGTGTTGTGGGAGTGAGGGTCCCTGGGTGAGGGTGCGGGTATTGGGTGAGGGGGGCGTGGATGCGCGGTTGCGGTGAGGAGGCGTTGTGGCTAATCTGCCAGGGTGCGGGTGAGGTTGTGGATGCGCTGGAAGGAGGCGCGAGCTTCGAGGCCGACTTTGTCCCAGGCGCAGGGGCTGTGGTGGTTTGTGCGGAGGAAGTCCTGGATGCGCCGGAAGTACCCGTTGATGGTGAGCCAGGCGTTGCGGGGCCCTTGGCTTTTGACATCCGCGTCGGCGCGAGGGAGGCATTGCTGGAGGAGTTGGATTTGGTCGTGGAGCTGGTTGAGGAGCTGTTGGTGGGCTTGGCTGTCCCAGTGCGCGGGGGTGTTTTCGTTGCTGAGAGTGGTGAAGAGGTGCTGGAGGACGCGGAGGATGGCGGCGGTGGCTTGTTGTGGGGACTGGATTGCCAGGAGGGTGTCGGGGAAGGGGAAAGGTGGGTCGTGTTGGGCGCAGGGCTGAGGCGGGCTGGGAGCCATGGCGTGGAGGAGCTGGAGGCTGTCCCAGTTGAAGGTGCTCTGTTGGGTGCGAAGGTTGGCGCATCTGAGGGCCGCGCTGAGAGCGGGCAGGAGGAGCAGGAGGACCGGGGTGCTGTGCCGCAGGCAGGGGTGTCGGGTTGCGGGCGCAGCCATGGTGGTGTGTCCGGTTGTCCGGTGGTGGTGCCGCCGTGCGGGAGGATCGTGAGCGTGGGTCGTGTTGGCGAGTGCTGTGCTTGCGGCTGTGCTGTGCGTCCGGCTTTATGTGGTGCCGCATCTTTCCCTTTGGCGTTTTCTAGTTGCGAAGAATTTCCTGCTCTCGTTTTCCGTTTTGGTTTGTGGCTGTGGTGGCTTTTGCGGTGTTTGTGGGAGTGCGCTTGTGGGTCTGTCGTGGTGGTGCTGTTGATGTTTTGGGGGCAGCCCGTTTGGGGGAGGCTGTGTGTTGTCTTGTTGTCTTTCCGTGGGGGATATGAAAGTGCCTGTGGCCGCGGCCTTTGGGGCAGCTGTGCTGAGGGTGTGTTTGAGGGTTTTCCTTTTGCCTTGCCGTTGTGGTCCCGTGCCCGCTTTGCGCGTTTGAATTTCTCCACCTCCCAAACTCGTGTTTTCCTGATGCCGCGTCCTGGTCTTGGTTGAGTTGCTTTTGCTTTGAGGATGCCTGTTGTTTTTGTTTTCCTGGGAGTGCGTCGGTGGTCTTGGTGCTCTGGAAGCGTTGTCGCGTGCTGTATTTTGGGAGAACGTTGGGAGGTGCGTGGTGCGGCCTGGTGCAGAGGACAGGTTGCGTTAGAGGAGGTGGCTCACGGCCTCGCGCGCTTGAGCTTTGAGCGTGTGCGTGGATGAAGATGCCACGGTCTCTGTGCTCCGTTTTGGTGTGCTTGAGTCCCACGACGGTTGCGGGTGGTGGTGGGGATGGGGAGGTGTGTGTGCGCGTGTGGTTTGTGCTGCTTGGGGAAGAATATGTGGCGTTGCCCCTTGTGCCTTTGCGTGTGGTGGTGCGTGTGTGTTGCCGAGTGAGCGGGGTCCGTGCAGAGGTGGAGAGGTGTGACGTGGTTGGGCTCACGGAGAGGTGGTAGGGCGGGCTGGCGGATTGGCGAGGGGTAGCGGAGGGCGGGAGGCTGCGAAGGCAGGATGGCGTGGTCCGGGGTGGAGGCGGGGTAGCGCTGTGTGTGAAGGAGAGTCTTGAATGGGTGGAGGTGTGGGCAGGTGGGGCAGGAGGGAGGAGTTTGTGGGGTGAGGCTGAGAGGAGAGAAGAGAGGCGGTGGAGGAGCGGGTGCGTGCTGCAGGCGGGCTGCTGAAGGAGAGGGAGGGGCGGATGCTGTTGCGCGTGGGGAGGAGGAGAGAGCCGGCGAGTGAGAGGCGCTGGTCGTCCCGGTCGGCTTGGAGGAGCCGAGTAGGTGCCGGAAGGGCGATAGGGGTGCGCGCCAGGCGTCGTGGGGGTTGCTGGCACGTGTTGAGGAGAGTCTGGTCCTGGCGGTGACTGTTGAAGCGCCATGGGGAGCTAGTGTGTGGGAGCCTTCGGCCTGACTAGCGGCTGAAAGGGGTGT